TGTGTGTGTGTGTGTGTGTGTGTGTGTGTGTGTTTGTTTGTGATCAGGCGCCCAGTTTTCGTGGAAGGAATTCTTAATAACAAAGCTTTAGCTGTTCACTTTCCGTCATGATAAATGTCCCCACATTTTTCTAAGAACAACTATTTTTGGTTAAGGTTTTAATACAGGCAATGAATAAATAAAGACAGTAGCGTGAAAGAAAAATGAAAAAAGTGAAAGCCGAGCACCTCCAGTGCCAGTTTTCAGTGAGTTTAATCAATCTAATGGATTTTTGAATGAGGAACATCTGTGATAAGGAGAGTGTCATTATGAGACAGACGGCGTCAGTTATTTCAACAAGTGTCCTGAGACGACACATTTAGATTCAATTCTCAAGGCTGTGCCTCTCTGCCAGAGTAATTATGTTAAAAAGAAAAAACAAGGGAAGAATTCAGGTGATGCTGAGAGTGAGGACGCCTAGAAAGAGAGAAGATCCAGATGGATGAATAGATCGCCCAAAAATCTGATATTGACAAGGACTCCTGCTTGTTCAATGGTTCCATTGAACAGCGGTCAGGTGTTTACCCTTTTTTGGAATGATAATTTTGCTGTACGCCAATTACATGTTTTTTTTACCCAAATTAATGTTTTCCGAGATATAATCAGAGAAGTCCTCAATTATTACTAATTATATTCACATAATTTTTACACCTCTTTCTTTGTGATGATTTTGAAGGTTAAAAGCAAATAAACACTTTTTAAAAAATGGTATAGAAAATGGATAGATGTAGTGTCCATGCATTATATTTGTGTGAGTAATTTCATCTTGTGGATTTGTGAGCATGTGAGTGAATAAAGGCTCAGCCAGCCCATTTGAATGCTGTCTAACTGTTGCTGCCGAGAGAGAGGTTAATCTATGGAAATGAGGGGCACTGCTGGTGGGGTGACGCGCTGACATTTGTAAAACCCTCTCCTCTTTCCTCTCTGCTTCAGCTGCAACGTGAAGCATCTCCAGAGACGTCACGTGTGCATTTCTCGTCTGGAGAGGCCACAAAACTGGGGGGAGAACTGCTGCGAGGTCCGCTACGTCATTTTGATATTGGCCCCGTCCAAAATGGTAACTGCTGACCACAGTATCTGTTTTTACTGCTTTTGTCCTCACTTGTGGCAAACGTATCGTCCTCAAAAAAGTATTCCAAATGAAACAGTTTCCCTTCTATTTAAAAAAAACTTTGTTGTGTTTTGAATCATGAATCAACAAAACATGATACATTAGATTATATGAAAAAACTTAGATTTGTGTTTTTGGAAATGTGTTTTCTTACTATGCTTGAGCTGCTAAATGTCTAAACTGAGAATCAGTGGTGGTGGCCTCTTGGTGTTTTGGTGTGAGCATGTGTCCCCTGCTGGTAAGACCTTTGAGATCAAAGTGTGTGCATGATTTCTGTTTCCTTCAGCTTTGAAGAACTCGCTGTAGGGTCAGTACCCCACATTTTATGTGAGGGAGGGACTCGGATTGAACCACTCAACCCTTGTATCGGCCACTGCCCCAGCTTAAGCCTCAGCTCAACCACACACCTCCTCACATGCTTGACACACACACATATTGCTGTCTGGTGTTCAGATGGCATTGATTGTTGACCTGCTGCAGATCCTCAATCCCTTTTTACCCCTTTGAAGGGTTGTATTCCCCTAAGCATACCAGCACACCAATTTTACCAGTGGTGCGGTGGCAGGGGGTTTAAACCCTGGCAATCATGAATGCCTCAACAAACAGCATTATGTTTTCAGTTTGTTGGGCGGGCCTCTATCTATTTTTTTCCATGAACCCTCGTTTATTTGGTTTCTTTCTTTAGTTTCCACATCCCTCTCTTTTTTTCTGCCAGTGTTGCAGGCAGCAGGCAGAACCACTAATGGCATTCTCAAAGACATTAATCTGAGCCCCAAGTAAACATAAAGCACTATTATGTCTTAATTAGGCTTTATGGTGAATGCTTCTGCTGGAGAGAATCTTTGAAGGGGGCATGATGATAATGATAATAGGAATTCCTTTGGTTGGCAGATGCATGTTATCCAGCATGTGTTTGGTGGGCAGTTTCCATTCCCAACCATTTAGCAAGCTTTACAGCATTTGTGGCTTCCCCCCTTTTTTGTGTGCCCAGATTTGTATGTGCAAAACAAAAATGACCTTTGTTAAAGCAAGCTCTTTTTCATTCTCTCAGTTAAAGATGTACCTCAAAGTGCTTCTCTTCAAAGTGCTTCTCTACATATGTATGTATGTTTCCCCCCTGAGAAACTCTGTTAAACGTTTTAAAGTAGCTTCCCTCAGAGTTTAAATGAATAAATGACAGTCATACTTTTTTTCTGCATCCATATTTTCCCAGTTAACCTTCATCGAACTGTGACATTTTTAACTTTATTCAATTTTGCTCATCTTTGACTCATTCCACATGGGTTTTAAGGCTTTTTTTTTCAGGTCCCATCAACCCATCCATATATTTTATCCACAATAGTGCAACATCTATTCATCCATTAATTATCTACAGGCACACACGCTTAAAAAATGTGTTATTTGTATGTGAAAGCAGTACTTGAGGGCAGAGATGAATAGATGACAGCAAGCACAATGTGCAAATATAAATACGATTATTGATATTGTGACTCGCTGTTCTAAAAGTTAAGATGTATTTATTTATTATTTGGGGTGGCTGTGGCCCAGGAGGAAAGAGCAGTTTCCTATTGATTGGAGGGTCATTGGTTTGACTCGATGTTCTTCCAGGCCAAATGTCGGAAAGTCCTAGGGGAAGGCTCTGGGCCTCAATTTGCACACCTGTGCATCCACCAGTATGCAAATTGAATGTGTGTGTGAGTGGGTGAATGGCATGCAGTGCAAAGCGCTTTGAGTGGTCAGTTGAACTGGAAAAGCTTTATACGAGGACAAGCCCATTTATGCATTTATACATATGCATTGAAACTCAAGTACATGGAAGAACTGCCTCCTCAATGGACATCAGTGATCCAAACCATGCATAACTACTGACCTATCCACCAGTGTGAGTGCACACTTTAAGGGCTTTCTTTAAACCAATATGACTGATGGAATATATGGATATTCTTCTCATGAATATAGTATACATCCTTTTGTATCTAAATGTCCCTGTTAAAATTTACAATTATTTCATTTATATTGGGCATAAATAATGATTTATACCCCATGCCTTTAATTACGCTCCATTTTTGGTGGTCATATTTCAGCAGCTTATAAGGTACACTTTTTTTACTAAAAAACACAAAATTACTTTTCCCCCTGTAAAGGAAGTATTTAATTCCCCTGGTTCATAACTCGGAAAACACTCATACTTTAATTCCAGTGTTTAAATGTCATTTTGTACCAGTTATTAATGTCAGAGTTCAGTGAGGGATGTCTTTCGTGGTTGGGCGACTCAAAATCAAGAAAAAGAATGTGAGGGATGAGGCCAAATCCTTTATACAACTAAACACAATAAAGTCTGAGTGAATTTTTTTTTTATTGTGCCAAAGATTCACCATTAAATGTATTGGTCAAGATTGTAATATGAGCTTAAAGATAACATCCCTAATGTCAATAGCCAAACCATTTAAACAAAAAACAAACAAACATGAAGTTGGCCATGTCTGATTCGGTATTAACAATTTATCCTGGAAAAAAAATTCTTATCTTTGCATATTTTGTGTATCGCAGTGTTAAAAATACATGGACAAATATGTACTACTGACATTCAGATATCAGAAGGCCTAACATCTGGCATCAACCTTGATAGTCATTGACCACCAAACATCACAGATGCTATCCCAGAGTCATCCATTCATCCTCAGCATCCCATGCTGGCAACACACAACATGATACACCCATGGAGCTGTTATGAAGCCACGTCTTCTGCACAGATATGTGCGGAAAAAAACCTAGATCTCCAAGTCCCAGCTCATCGACCCTATTTCTCTGACTGCTCCACATCTGTCAGAGGTTGTATGGATAGTGTTAAAGCTCTGAGTAGAACTTGATGTCGCTCCACTGCCATTCAGATTTTTTTTTTTTCCTGTGACAATATCTCTACTTGTGGTGGTGTTTGGCTGATCCAGCTAGCCTCAGATGTAGCGATAAGAAAGCAAAAAAGCACATTTTTGTTGAAGCGTCTTGGAAATAAGCCCATCTTTTATTTCCTCAAATATTTACATGAGCAAAAACTGGCACAGACTGTAGGATGTTGGATTAATAGGGAATCACATGTATTACAAAAGCTAATGAGGGATTTTTTGGAAGACAGGAATGCGTACCTTGAGGAAACTATTTATTGGTAAGGTGGCCTGTCCAACAATTTGACTGAAGTAATTGGTTACAGAAGAAATTGTCGAATATTAGCGCACAGCTGAATGTTAGCACACGCTGCTGGTGATATTTGCCTCTTTCTGACAGTTTCATTAAGCTGTTTGATATGTTTACAACTCTTCTGTGCAGCACTTCCACTCTGCAGAGTCTTCAGTGTAAACCCACCATGTGTGCTGTAACTCGGATACACAGTGTACAGCTGTTGTCTGTGTGACTCAAATGCAAACGCTTCAGAAAATGTCGCGGATGAGCATTTGATCCTTGGGAGTGACGCTCCTGGTATCTTACTCCTTTAAGGCTTCCTCTTAAACCTGACCGAATATATTGTATCACGTTCCTTTTAGAGAGAAAGAGCCCTCTGATTCATCAGGATCATTCCTCTCACCGCTTTCCGCTCTTGTTTGAATCCGGCTACCACTGCTGAAAAGCTTAAAGGCTTTAGTTTTACTATTTACATCAGCTGCCGCTGCGCACTGAGCCGGACTTTGTTGGTATCATCACCACCTGGCTGACAAGGCCTCCCTGGCACTGTGCTGTCTCAGTGTCTGCCAGGACATCATCATCATCCCAGGATTTATTGACACCATTTCTGCACAAAATCGGCTCCAAATCTTGGCACCTACAGGAAATCACATTTTGATTTTATACTAACTTGGTGTAGCTCTGATCTTCTTCTTGTGGCTTTATGAAGCTTTTTTTTGTATAGTAATTGCATGTTGACAGTGTATACTGGATGTTATGCTCAAAATTAGAATTACGTACAGATCATTTACAGATCACCATTTTCATTACGTTTATTCCCTCAGCAACTGAAAATTGCGCTCAAGAAAAGTTCAATTTAAATGTTAAGGCAATAGATGAAGTCTAATTATTGTAACCAACTACTGTTGGTTTGTTTGTTTTTGGAGTAAGAATATTTTAAATGACTACACGTAATGTGAAATCTTCTCTATGGAGGCTACTGTACAGAAAATTAGTGCCTGACCTTTGATCTTTAACATCAGTGTTCGGTAAGGAATTTCTTTGAAAATCCTGGGAAGACAACCAACTCCAGAGACCTTGAAGTGGTCTAAAAGTCAAGTTATATTATTATACCAAACAAACAAGTGACTCTTTTAGTGTTTGAATGTTCAACCACATCCTTTTCTTTCACAGAAAAGTACCAAGACGGCAATGGAGCTGGGCAGGACTTTTGCCACCCTGTTCTCCGACATCTCCTTCAGACAAAAGCTGCTGGAGACGAAGACACAGGAGGAGTTTAAGGAGGCTCTGGTGTTCCAGAGACACCAGATTACAGCAGTCAACCAGCAGCCCACCGCTCTGGGAAAGGAGGAGACCGACCCTCGTAGTCAGAAACCTCTCAAGGTGAGAGGGAGATTGTATATGTCTGTGTGCTGACTAAGAAATTAAGTGAAGATTTTCACTTCTTTTTGAAAGCACTGATTGTTTGCTCAGCAGCAACAACTATCAATCATTCACTGAGCAGCAAACGGCACACCAAGTCTTTCACAGCACCGAGGAGGTATTTTGGATTGCTTCTCCACATAAAGCTCTTTCCGTTCTTCAGTGTTTCAGGGACATTTATATTGAACAGCCTTCTTCTGTTGCCCTGTGGTTGTGTCGTAGAAAGACCAAATCTTAGGAAAAAGCAGGCCAGAGGTAGACTTAGGGAGCGGAAAGAAAAAAACTGAATTACGAAAAATAAATAAATAAATACATCAAGACGATGTCAGTGCAGGGAAGACAGCTGAGGACAGAAGGCAGGTGTTGCAATAATAAACAATGGTCAGAGGAAGAAAAAAACCAGACTGAGAACAGGGAAACAAACTGAGAGCCAGCGGAATAGGAAATTTAACTCAACAAACAGAAAATCTGGAAATTGGAACCCCAAAAACCTAAGAAAAACCTCCCAGACCATGACATCTTCAGCTTCATGTCACAGCACCTTAGGGGGGTGGGGGTGGGGTTATGATCCGCTTTAGCCGTTGCCAAACAAAGGCTATACACACACACACACTTAATACACACAGATTGTACATGTTAAAGTAGTGTAAAGGTTTTATGAATTAACTTCTTTCTAAATTCATTTTCCATCTAGTACTTTAAAGTAAGCAAAATAAGCTTTTAATTGGCTGTAATTCAACAACAATAATGATAAAAATGAGACCATTTAGAAGTTTGTACATTAATGCTATTCTTATTTAGTGTTTTACATTGAATAAAGTTGCACAAACTTACACTTTGGTGGCATTTAGGTTCCCCTTCTTGGTGTCTTTCTGTGGCCTTTTGCAGTCACGATTATCTCCGTTTGGATTTTTGATGGTCCAGTTACAGTTTTGTGATCAAGTATCATCTTTCGCACCAACAGTATATATTTTTTCATCACTTCATTCAAGTTTGACAGAAGCATCCCCTGTCTGAATGATTTCAGTGCTGGGATTTTCCGTTGGGGCATAGTTTGAATGGCTTCTTTTCACATCATCACACAAATGATCCCCAGTGGTGAGATGTGGCCTGCGATCTGTGTTTTTTCTTCTTTTTGCTCAACATTAAAGTTGAGGTATTATCCTGTTCCCTGTCTTCCTCAAATTCTTACATTTTTTAAAATTCATTGTTATTTACCTACAGGATTCTGTTAAGAACCGAGATTACACACATGACAGGGATCTTATTCGGTCCATATATGTCTTTCCTTAAACCCCTGTCGCCCCTTTCTCTTTTCCACCACCACTCCTCATCACCCTATCTCCTTCTTACTTGACTGGGCTGACTCGTCCATCTTTTTCTCCCCCTAATAAATCAACATCAACTTCTGCCAGGTCTCCTGAGTGGGTAAATGACCTTACATCTCTCACAGTCCTGTCAGAATCCTCCTACCCCGTAGCTACACAAATGCATGCCCACATACACACACGCACACACACATTATCAAAAGTGCACCTCCAATAGAGCTTTACTCAGTGTCACGGACCACCATCACCTCCTAATGTTGCCTTGACAGGACATGCCTTGTGGACATTTCCGCCGGCATTTATTTTTTTATTTTTTTATTTTCCTTTATAGCTAAGGATTTTGGTTCAGCGTTTATCCTGGGGTTTGAAATGCTCACTGCCACTCGGTGAAAGAGACTGGCACAATAATTTTGAAAAAGACAAATGGAGCAAAAGAGGTAAGAGGAATTAGGAGGAATCGGAGGGGCGTTGGTTTAGAAAAATGTCAAATCAACAGCAAAGAGAAAATGATCAAATTAAAGTGAGAATTGCAGAGGAAGAGCCTGTCTCCTTGCATCCTCAACCATTCACATCCAAAACAAACGACGGACCACCCACAACAACTAAAACTCCTCTTACCCTGTATTTAAAGACAAGGAGAAAGAAAAAAGGCCCAATTTTGTCTGTTTGTCTTTTTATGTTTTCTTCCATTGCATCACTTCACTGACCCTTCAGAACGAATGGTAAACAGGTGGACAGTAATTCCTCTCTGAGACTTTTGTTTGTCAAACCTGAGCCAAAAGCTGGCGATCAGGCCACACACACAGACACACACACACACACACACACACACACACACACACAC